ACAATAATTTTTCAGGATCGTTATCATCGAATTATTTAATATAAAAAATCCTGTGATGGCGACCTTGAAAAATCATTCTTCTGAGCTGAAATATTTTGTCTCGATATAACTACCTGTATCTAAGTATAACGATGAGATTGCGGAGCTGATATTATCAGTTACCGTATCTTATCAACAAACGACTAATGCAGCATAAAGCACCTCAAATAAATCGAATAGCTCAAATCACAGTCAATGAAAATAATTGCGTCACGATTTTTTGTTGATTCTTATCGAATATTCAAGTCGATATTACCTATCAATCATCGCACATGTACTTTGGAACTTGGCGAGCAGACAGCATTGTATCTTTACTCTCTAAAAATACAGAACATTTTTTTTCTCATACAATCGTTCAACTCGTATCGAAAAGAATCGATCCACTGGAGCCCATCAATCAAATCCTCAATTTCCACTTAATTAAAATCTCAACAAAAATCTTCCACAGATTCAAATTTCATTTTCTTTCGTCAAATCGCGGTTTATTTCGCGGAATATTTTTAATTGATAATTAATTAGAAATTAACTCCTTAACTCTTTACTTTTCTATTTTAATTCTCAATGATTTATCGTTATAAATGTTATAAATGTTAGTGCAAATCACATAATTTATTCTCACGATTTTATGTAAATGATTGGGTAATAATTGCTGGAGGGGATTCTGTCCAAATATTCATGGAATTATTCAGTAAAAAAAAAATGAGCTGACACACGAAATAGTCTTGTGATGACAAGCATGAATAATATTTCGCAACATTTTTTCATGCCGTAGCACAAATGGTTTTAATTCTTTCAACAGTAAGAGTTAAATAATTCAGACGTCGTATGTCACCCATAAAAGATTCTCGAAGGATACTCAAACGAAATAGATAAATTCTGTTATTCTCGCCGATATTTTCGACACGTACTCTCAACTATGAAACAAAGACTATTCAAAAGTCTCAACCATCTCCAAACAGCCATTCATATTTCCATATTGATATTCCTTCAAGAGTATTAATTGTTTTTATTTCCAATCTGATCTACTCTTCAAATAAATATCCATAAATATTTTTTGTTAATACACTTCTTCCATCCCTTCCACCCCTTCCACCCCCTCCGCCCCTTCCACTTCTTCCATCCCTTCCACCCCTTCCACCCCTTCCACTTCTTCCACCCCTTCCACCCCTCCCCATCACCTCTGGTTTATAAATTCGTAAAATCTATTTATTTAAACATTTTTATCGTCCCTTCGCTGCCTGATATATTATTTATTTATGCATCTCTCCATTTATTTATCACTGGTATTATTGCATATCTCCAATTGGAGTCAAAATTTCTCAACATCTTTTGATTTATTAATTAAACTAATCCGTTATTTATAAATATATTTTCCTGAGTGGTCAGAAGTCCTTGATGAGACTAAATAAACGAGCAAAGTGCCTTTAGGGGAAATCTACGTGACAGTAAACGTAATGCGAACGATGTACTGGATTTTTATTGTTCATTCCACACTAGAACCCCCAGGTGTCACCATTGCAATCCCCCAGTTTAATTATTACAACAATTTAATTCAATTTAATGCATTAAAAAATCGGTTAATAATTGAATTATAAAAATAAATTCAAGCGTGAATACTATTAATCTTGAAACACCAGATCAGACTCAATTCATCCAACGAGCGTCAATTCTCACTCTTTGATTGGAATGCTCTCAATAATTAAATGAAGTATTTTGATAAAATTGTTTTGAACAAAAACTACGGCTCTACTTTTTTAACTTGGAGTGAGGGAAGATTATATCAATCTGCGTTCCGTGATTTCTGATAGACGTCAATCCATTCGAGACAATCATGATGATCTGACCGCTTTTTCAAATCAGAGGCGAAAAAAAAAAGTGAATCAACTAAAAATGATGAGCAGTGAATTAATTACCAAGTGTTGAGGCTGAATCAATAAAATCCAGTAGCCAGTGGTTGAGATAATGACGCATCAATTCACTAACGGATATTAATATTAAAAAATAGATGTGATATTTGAAAAATAAAAATCAAAATTGGTAACACGTGGTGCAGAGTGAGAGTGCAATCTTGCACAAAGTGTTGTACTTCCACTGAATTAAATAAAATGAATATGGATTCTGTGAGGGATCTTAAACGTTTGCTCTACGAGCAAACAGAGGCACTTAGAAATAGAGATGAGATGGTGGAGATATTGGAGAAAGCTGTGGATGAGAGAGACGCTACTATAAGATATCTCCAGAATGAAATCGATAAATTTCGACAGATTGTCGATTTATCGATGTCCGTTGGGCCCCTGGGCCCCGGACAAAGGGCCAAAAGACAAGCTATTTCAGCAGAGCCCCTGAGAAATGACTCCAAACCCATCACCAAGTACAACAAGCCCCAGAGGTACAGCTGTTCCTTTTTCTCTTCATTTTTTTTCTATTTATGGAATATCAATTGTGCTCTTGTTCTTTAATTGAACGGAATGTCAATTGGCTGATCAGATAAGCCTCAAGGTTAATTTTCGATTGATGATAGCTGTGGCATTGGCGGGGAGTCATTCAGAATTTTTTTTTATTGTTCGAGTTTTTGTCGGGATTTTACTTTTTGGAGGTGTTTGACTCGTTAAAAGTGAAACCATGAGGGACTCACTTTCCCCTATACCATGATTATAACATATGGTTGTGACCCACTACTGGCCAAGGCTTTTGATTGTTTCATACACGGGTCTTACCCAATATCCACACTCATTATTCCAGATGATACACGATAAAAAGTATTCAGATCAATAAATTCAGGGAATTCAGGAAAAAAGCACAAGCAAAACGAAATTATTCAATCGTAATTTTTCCTATTTTCATTATTAAAAATAATTGATAATATTATTAAAAATAATCGATGAATACTGATGGATATAATTATATCGATCACGTTATAGTATTCAGGAATAATAATTATTATTATAATTATTATTATAATTATGAAAATAATGGTGATCATTGGCTGTGGCTTGAGGATATTTTTTAATACTAGATTTATTGAATCGTTGAACAGTTTGAGGAATTATTTTTTCGAAAGCATCGGCTTGACATTGAATGGAATAATTGATGATAAGTAAATGATTTTCAAGGAGCTTATCATTTTAGATAGTCATTCTGTGAGCCGAGGTATTTTCTATTTCGACAGTCTTAATTGCTACGACAGTTTAAATAAAAAATATGTCTACTTCAAGGACTCCTGGAGTATTAAACAAACATAGATGTTATAACAATTCTATTACTAACGTTCTTGAATTGATTAATTCTTTTCTTTCTCCCAAACTTCTCTAGAACAGCGTGACTCTTTTGTTATCATTGATTTTCCTTCCGCTTGCTAGTTCGCGTTTCAATAAATAAACAGTTATTATTTACACAAAAATCAATAGTTATTTATTCCGAAATCCGTATATTTCTCGATATCAATTCCCATCGGTAATTCAATAAAATAAACAAACAATTGAAATAGATCTCTAATTTATTTAATTGAATAAATTACTAAATGACTATCACACCTCGATCCCCAGAATTTTTCAACGAAATGCATTCTCGATTTATTTTTATCGAAGTAAAAAATCGGAATAGACTTTTCTGTCGCGATTACGCGGATGGGGATCGCAATTATCGAATTCTCATTAATGATTAGCAATTATTTTTTATTTAAGATCCCGTGACCTCATAAAGGCTGCGATATTGGACAACGATTTTATGAAAAATCTGGAACTCACGCAAATACGGGAGATCGTTGATTGCATGTATCCTGTGACTTATCCTGCTGGTTCACTTATAATTACCGAGGGAGATGTTGGATCAACGGTTTATGTCATGGAAGGTGAGTATATCATACAAATAATTAATTTAATTGTTTAATTTTTATTAAAATTAAAAAAAGTCTGCCCATGAAAAAATATATATATTAATTTATCACATTTATTTATTTATACTAAATCAAATTCATCCGCCATTATCTAATTACAATCCGATTAATTATCGATTTTAGTAATTAATGATTTATTACTGTTATTGTTATTTGTAATATATATATACGGTTTCATTGAGGTAGAATAACATTTAATGGAGGAAATGCTTCTCTCATTACTCCGTGATTAAGTTCTCTGCAATCGGAAAAAAAGGAATTGAATGGAAAAAACTTGACGGGTAATTTTCCCTTCCTTTCCCGAAGGTCAACAGAAAATTCCGGTGACTCTTCAGTCACTGTAGAAAATGCAACGGGCGGTCGAGACCCCAAAGTCGTTCTCAACCTCGACATCCTGGGGATTCGACTCCAAAATTAGCGTTTTTTTTTAAATAATCCAAAACCTCATCAAAGCTCAGAAAAAAATGGGGAAATCCCGGATTTTTAGTTGAGAATTTCACCAGCTGTCGCCGCCACCTCCAAATTTCCTGTCTCATCCCTAGGTCTATAATAAAAATTCTCTGTGAATGAGAAAATAATAAAAATTGGTGAGTGCCACTAAGAGATTAAATTCGAAGACAGAATAATCTAAAAAAAATTGATGAACTATGACAGATGGCAATTTACGCGGGCAATTAGATTTTAAAATTTAGTCTTTTGAAGAATAGGTACATCATTCGGAGCATTAATATTCCGTGCTACCCCAACTCGATTGATTGTGACTATAAAATCAATAATAAATTTTCAAAAACAACCGCCACCTAAAGTGTAAAGAAGAAAGATCCTGAAGAAATCCGGAAGAGATCCGGAAGAGATATCACCCTCGGCAGATCAATCAGAATGATTGCAATCAATATCCACTGGGGTCACGTGCTAATGACGCCAACGTGAAAATCATGTCGATTTCTGATTTTAAAATCATTGAGTCTGCTGAGAACCACTGCACCTTTCCCTCACGTTCTCTGAAAGCCAAACAGAAAATGCACAGTGGGGATTTGCGTGACTGTCAGTTGTAGTTTCAAGTGTTGGTGTAAGCGAGACAAAGAGAACGAGGGGTTTGGTACCTAAACCCGATGGAGGGGAAGGGGATCACGAGAAAGAGTGGCTGCTGAAAGAGGGGATTCAGGGACCAGGAACCTGGTGTGCAGCACCAACAGCTAGTTTCCATCCGGAGGTTAAACCGTTCGGGGGCCCCCCCAGTCTTTTTTTAAATCACCCCTCCACCCCCTCGCCCACCATTTTCCTATTTCTTCCAGCATCATTTTTTTACCCATCAAATTTCCTCACACATTGGTCTGCCTCCGAGGCATCCACCTCCATGTCCTGGACTGGTTAAATCGTGCGTCATCACCAGGAAGTTTTCGTTTCAAGGGAGAGCAATTGAGATTTGATATTTAAATGTTCCATTTTTATTTAATTCAGTGATGTTTGTGTGGATATCTGGATGTTGACAGCTCAGATCCACTGACAAGATGTTTTCGGATCGTCATGAGTTGTTTTGGTGAAGATAGAGGCAGGATTAATGATGGAATTATTCTCATGATAATTTTGATGGATGGGATGAGTTTAAAGTACGAGAAAAACCTGTGGATGTTGACTGGAGGGAAAAAGTAAGAGGGTCTTCGAAATTAACGAGTGATTTGCATATTCAACAATGGAAAACACGAGATGCTATCGAGTCCTCACCCTGAGTCCATGAATTGGTGCTGATATCTCATATTTTAAACAATACAATTGTTAATTGCATTTGAATTTGAATATTTAAATGAAGAAAGGAAAGATTCTGTGATAATTCATCCAAAGTAATTAAAACCCAAGAAGACGAGCTTCAATTACTGTAATGAACTCCAGGAGATTCGAAATTATCGGGGATTGTCTCTGGAGAGGGGACTGAGGAATAAATAAATCATGAAAGTAAGGAGTTATCCTGGTAGAGCAGTTCTGGAGGATCCAGAGTTAATTCTGGATCCGGATGTCACCAGAAGACGTGCCATGGAGCTTTTGTATGAGGCAAGCTGGCGAGAGTGCAGTATGAACTGGAGCTCAGAGCCAAGAAACGATAAATCAGGGAGCTCCAGGGATGATGATTGTCGTAGACCCTATGCCGATGTGATAACTCAGCTGGAAAATGTTCTCGATGGATCCTCAACGCCTAGGTCACAGAGATCTAGCAGTGGAGGTACGACTGACAGCGATACCTCGGATTTGGCCCAGACTGATTATCAAATGGTGAATCAGGGCTTTGCCATTCCGAGACCAAGACTCATTGTTCCTGTTCACACTTATGCCAGGAGAAGACGCACTGGAGCAACAACTGTCAAGAGACGACAGAACAGAGAAGGTAGAATAATAAATAAAAACCCTGGATATATTTAGTCGGTTTACAGATATTTATGGATGAGGTGTAATGATTTTTAGTGAGTCATTTAACCCACGCGTTAATGATGATCTAAACTGCTCTGAGTATGGAGAAAGTTGGAGAATCTCAGGAAGTACCGGGTGTTATTTATTGTTTATTTATTTTTGTTAGTTGCTTAAGGGGTTTTAATTATCATTGCATTTTTTTTATTTCATTTTTCATGAGAAAATGCTACTTTTATACAGATAATTCGTTGGGAATTCGTGTGTAATTTTCAAAACAGTTAATCTGCCTTTGAAATTGAGTTAAATATTATTACAACCATGTGGTATCGTATGCCAGGCATGAAGTCTTTGTCCTGTTATGTCGTCATGCTGCGGGACAGGAGCAACCGAGCGGTTCCACAATTTTTAATACATTGAAATATAATACTGCATTCGATATTTCTCGTTTCATCGGATATTCCCATCAATTTTACCAACAGCTTGCGATCGATTCCCATCTTCAGGATCAATTAATCCATCCTAGCAACTCACCAAGGCATTAGAATTTTTAATGTTATCATTTAAATACTCGTCATGAGAGTTTTTTTTTTATTAAACTCGAAAGGGGATTTACTGGTGACATTTCTAGAACCGACAATTCCGATAACAGGAGTTGCGCGTTAAAATAAATAATTATTCGTTGATTCCTGGGGATATCGCAGAATTTTAAAGTTGCGATTTAAATGGGATTTTTGGAATTCGTTCAGTTGAATATTGAAGGAAAATTTCGAAGAACCGTTTGGAAATGTTGAACTGTTTTTCAATAACGGTAACATCCATTCCCGGATCTTATTGCGAACTCTGCACTAAACTAGAACGAGATAAGAATGAAAAAAGAGAACAGAATTATGAAAGACAGATAAGATCATTGAGAAAAATACCATTGAGCTTATTCTCACTTCACGACACTTTTTATTCCACGAGCTGGTAGATTAATTTCTGGGTCTCTGAATCAGTCCGTGGGCGTTCGCTGGAGCTCAGATAATTAATGCGGATCATCTCTGAATAGTTAAACCGAAGGATTCAGTTTCCTTGGAATAAATACGAGTGATCCACTTGAATAATTATTCAAATGCCAGTAATGGAGTTGGTTAGTCCCCTGGAAAATTATTGTACAAATAATTGAAACGTATCAGAGACGGAAGTCGGTTCACTTGCTCTAATAACCCTTTGACCTGTATGTAACGTCTTCTGAGGATCTCAAACGGTCCAAGGTTTACGATAAAAACTATACAGCTACTGCCACAGACAGATCTAATGACTATAATTGATTGTTGAGAGATGTCAACGACCTACGACGGATTATTCCTTATTATTCCTTACAGCTCGTGTCTTCACTGGAACCATTTTTTTTTTTCCTGGAAAAAATTAATGAATTTTCAACGAGTCCCCAATAATTTTCCGACTCTCCACCATTTTTTTTTGTTTTCTCTCCCCATTTTCTGATTTTCCGCCTTTTTTTTACGTCAGTGCAAATATTTATCAATATAATAACAAATTAAAAACCAGTAAATGATAAGGAATTGGTTGTTCGGGAATTATTTCCAACTCTTCCCAATTTCTTTTGTCTCCTTCTCCTTTCTCTTTTTTTCCTCTTTGTTTATAACAATGCGAATGTTTATCAATATGGCAAAATACTCACGGATGTATTTGAGAGAAGTGAAAGTCCGACTGGAATTATAAAACAAATTTTCCTGTTTTAAATTGAAAATGTAAATTAACGACGATCAAGTGATGCGGATGTGGAGTTTAATAAATGAAATTAATAACAAACGAGATGTAACGACCGGAGACGCGGGTCCCTCCTACGTCATTTCGCACTGTCTCAGACGTCTAGTTACACGTTATGAAACATCCGGTTATGGAACAAAGATATTTGTGTTGTACAATGGGAGAAAAAATTATATGGTTAATTGAGGTGGAGAAATATTTCTGCGAATCCATAGAATTTCATTAATCCTAATGCTAGACTGGATTGAATTTTGTGGAATGTTTATTTATTTATTTTTTTTGTTTCAGAGGGAAAGGTGGAGGTTTCCAGGGATGGAAAATACCTGAGTACCTTGGCACCAGGCAAGGTTCTCGGTGAATTGGCAATACTCTATAATTGCAAGAGAACAGCAACTATAACAGCAGCTACTGATTGCAGACTATGGGGAATCGACAGGTCGAGTTTCCAGACGATTATGATGAGAACTGGACTCTCCAAACAAGCAGAATACACTGATTTCCTCAAAAGGTAAAAATCCTCTAATCCATTGACTTCAAATTGCTCCCAATAAAATTTCTCCAGGAGAAATTCCCGTGGAATTAAATCCAGGAGCCGCCCTAATCCTCAATCTACTCCTTTAATGAAATTTTAATTATTTTTTTGGTTTTAGCGTTCCGATATTCAAAAATCTACCCGAAGAAACGTTAATCAAGATCTCGGACGTGCTGGAAGAGGTAATTTATTGTTAGAGGAATTATTTAAACATTGAGGTAAAGGCAAAACGACCTTGGGCTGTGTGTTATTAACTCCGTTATAATTACAGACATTTTACAACAATGGGGATTATATAATTCGTCAAGGCGCTAGAGGAGACACTTTCTTTATAATTAGTCGGGGTCAGGTGCGTGTCACCATGAAACAACCGGATAACACTGAGGAGAAGTACATCAGGACTTTGAGTAAAGGGGACTTCTTCGGGGAGAAGGCACTGCAGGGGTAAATCTTCATTAATTTGTTAATTAATCCCCCTGCAGTTATTTTCTTACTGATTTTATTGATTCGTTTGATTTTTGGATGCAGCGATGATCTGAGGACGGCGAATATCGTTGCGGATGATCCTGAGGGTGTCAATTGTCTCGTCATTGATAGAGAGACATTCAATCAGCTGATATCATCCCTCGATGAAATCAGGACGAGGTACAAGGACGAACTCGTCGAGCGCAGGAGGTAAGACCTGGAGGAGTGATTTTTTATTGTCTCTACGATTTAAATATTGATATCTATTGTTTCATGCTTGAGATGAGAGGGTGAGGATGATAAAAGTAAGTGAACGATTTAATGAATGGTAAATTTCATGAGGTCGTTGGAAATTTTTTTGATTTATACTTGAATACCTGTTGCCCATAATAATTGAAAAAGTGAAAAAAAATCATTTGTGGAGAGATTTTATTAGTGAAATTGCAATTGGAACATCAGCTGACCCACATGGAAGAGATTTATGGTGGAAGATTGAATTAATTACTCATGACTAGATATCAGCAGAAAGTAGATTATTCGATGGCATGATTGTTGAAGTTAAATCTCAACTGATTTTTCTAGACTCAATGAAGAGTTCCGGGAGCTTCGGCTTCAGGATCTGCGTCCTCTGGCCACACTTGGTGTCGGTGGATTTGGTCGAGTGGAATTGGTGCAGATAGCTGGTGACAGCAGTCGTTCATTTGCCCTCAAGCAGATGAAGAAAGCACAAATTGTTGAGACTCGTCAGCAGCAGCACATCATGTCGGAGAAGAGAATAATGGGTGAGGCTGACTGCGATTTTGTAGTGAAACTATTCAAGACATTCAAGGATAGAAAGTACTTGTACATGCTCATGGAGGCATGCCTCGGAGGTGAATTGTGGACGGTGCTGAGGGATAAAGGACACTTTGACGATTCAACAACTAGATTCTATACTGCTTGTGTCGTCGAGGCATTCGATTACCTACACTCGAGGAACATCATCTACAGGGATCTCAAGCCGGAGAATTTATTGCTGGATAGTCAAGGGTAAATAATCCAAAAAAATCTCTGATTCAATCACCCAACAACAAAAAAACAATTATTCCCAATTCTAGTGTCAGTTATCGGTGGATATCTCATAAACGAAGAGAGACACCGAAATTTTCATGAATACCTTTTTTATAGACCGATGTGCAGGCTAAAAAACAGATTTATATAAAAATTTCGCTATCTCCCTTCATTTAGAAGATATTCATCGATAATTGGGTCTGTTCTGAAGAGTTTTTTATTCTTTTGTGGTAGATATGTAAAACTAGTTGACTTCGGATTCGCAAAACGTCTGGATAACGGCAGAAAGACCTGGACATTCTGTGGAACTCCAGAATACGTAGCTCCCGAGGTGATTTTGAATAGAGGACACGACATAAGTGCGGATTATTGGTCTCTGGGAGTTCTGATGTTCGAATTGCTAACGGGAACTCCTCCGTTCACCGGGGCTGACCCCATGAAGACCTACAACATCATCTTAAAGGGGATTGATGCCATTGAATTCCCCAGGACTATAACGAGAAATGCCACAGCCCTCATCAAGAAACTGTGCAGAGACAATCCAGCTGAGAGGCTGGGCTACCAGAAAGGGGGCATCAGTGAAATTCAAAAGCACAAGTCAGTCCTCTAGATTTTATTTCCTGAACGTCCCTGGAAGGGGAAATAATCCATAAATTCATGTTGATTTATTATTTACAGGTGGTTTGATGGATTCAATTGGGAGGGGCTGAGGGCGAGAACTCTGGAGCCTCCAATTATGCCGAGAGTTCAAAATCCCACAGACACTGCCAATTTTGACGAGTATCCACCTGATGCTGAACCCCCACCACCAGACGATATCTCAGGGTGGGACGCGGATTTTTAATGAATAATATAATTTATTTTATTCCAATTCAATCGCAACTTTCGAATGGAAAATACAGTGATTGGAGGGAAGGCGATCTGTTGAATAAGAAGCGAGTCAAATGTAGATTGTGTGGTTACCAAATGAAACTCGTTTAAACGAATTGTGTAATTTGTTGAGGGAAAATCACTATTGAAGGCTTAATAATTTTATTGAAAATTCGTGCTTCCTCTGAGGCTGCCAGTGCCACGTGCCATTAATGATCTTCAGATGAATTTTCCGATCGTTTTTAACAGAACGAATTTTTATTTCGAATATTCATCGATGTTATGTCACTTTTTTTGTTTCATCGAAAATGAATAATTGATACATTAATCGAGACGATCTTGCCAGGTGCATGAACGATCAGGAAAACATTATTTTGAACAATTTTAAGAAGATTATTCAAGTGCAGAATGACGATGCATCAGTGATTACGAGTAAATCTCCATAATTTGTTGTTTATTCGTTTTTAATAGAGTTTATTACAGGATTTATTATATCGAATATATTTTTCAAGATTTTCGAGAGATAATTAAGTGTAAGTTGTGTAAATAAGTCGATAGGTTATATATATATTGATAATTAGTTAATTGATGATGAATAAAGTTTTATTGACGATGATGTGAGTTCTCATTATATTCACGATTTCATTAATTTTCTGTTTATAAATCTTGAATTTTCAATTATCAAATTATTATCGCACACTTTCCCTAATTTACAAATGATAAATTACAAATTAAAAATTAAAAAATTATTTTCGGGGCGGTAAAATGTTTTCCACCATTTGTTTTCTTTTATTAGGTTTCAGATGCCTATTATCATCTACAATGTGAATAAATAAATTGCATCATCCACTTCTCGACGGAAGAATTAAATTTTCTAAAAAAAAAAACCCACTTTTCTCCCCAATGATTCACATTGGCATTCCGCTCTCTCAATAAATGAAATCAAACTACCGAGGGTTACGACTAGAAGTTGAAAATAGACGAAGAAATGACCGCGGTCGAATTATTATTAAAAAATCGCTGCGCGATGGTTTGAAATCGCTGGATTTTCCCGCGCCCCGCACCACCCCGTTTGTCAACGCATGCGCACAGCTTGTTTACAACTGCGGAGAGAGTCAGCCTATACGAAACGATACACACATGACCTTTTCAAGATGGACACGAGCTAGTGGCCCCTTTGGTCCTCGTGTGCGACGTAAATATATCTCTAAACAAGTGAAAAAAAAAAACCGATAAACAACCAAATAAACACCTAAAATCCCCACCCCCTTAAAAACAGCCCCAGCAAAATCACTCAAGACCCCAACCCACCCCCCAGATCCACCCCAACAAGTGAGTAATTACGAGAAAAACAAAATTTCGAAGCAATCAAATATTGTTTTCATCAGTGGCAACGACAGAGGTGAATATTTCGAGCAGATAGTGACGTGAATTTACCACTAATGAATTATTAACAATCTGAACAGTATTTATCATCGAGGTGGTAAATTATTCTGTTGTGACGCTATTGCAACCCTCCCTCAGACGAACAAGGACAGATTTATCTCGTCCTCGTGGTGGAGAATAAGAAAGAGATTTTTTTTTCTCACATTTCTCTCCCACTGGAATGAAGTGAAAAACCAGTGGAGCACGAGACAACCCCAGGAAGTCGTCTCTAGGTGGATTTTTTCCACGAGAATCAAGTGCTGTTTTGAGGTTGTACGAGGGGATTTTTTTTTTTTATTATTTTCAACTCGTGGAGTGGAGTTTTGTGGTGATGATGCTCTTGAGGGGGACCTAGGGGAATCCTTGGACATCCTGGGGACAAGGGAGGGGATTGTGAGACGCAACTACCACGTTTTTTGGAAAATATAACGCGTAGGTGAAGTTTTTTTGCTTTTTCTTTTATCAGAACTGTTTTTTACCAGGGGTTTATTCCCCTGTAGGTCACAGAGACAAAAAAACGGGGAGTAATTGTTGTTTTGTTTTGATTCTATATTTTTTTTTCTGTTTTATTTATCTTTACGAGTTCATCTGTTTTTTTAGGGCTTTCAGTCTTTTTTAATTGTTTATTTTTCTGCGTTTTTTAATACTCTCATTTTTTTGAGGTGTAAATAAGGGCGGAGGGGTGGGGTTGAGCTTATTGTTGATAAACATTGGGATTTCCCGAGGTGATAAGAACCACCAACAATTATTGAATCATTAATTTCCAAGTAATGCTTTTTGTTGACAGTCTTTTATGATTAATGATTTTTGAGGATCGAGGGCTGTATTCATTAGGTTTTCCCGGGGTCTTTCTGAAGCGTTAATGACTGTTATTGTAATGAATAATGAGTCACTGTACACTGGAAACGAGTTTCTCATCTGAATTTATTTTATCTCATCTTGTCTATGTTTTCAATAAAAAAAATTTGTGATTCAGTGTCTCGTTATTCCGAATGACAACTCAATTGTAGCCTTACGTAAATATTCATAATTACTATAATAATTATCTAACAAATGAGGAGGGGAATGAAAAAGTAATGAGTATAAAAAAAAACCTTTCGGAAAAATGATCCACATATTCCCATCCCTTCTTCCCCATAAATTCCCCTCTGTCATCCAATCATTTCTACACACTCTTAATACAAATAAAATAAAATCCCCAGTCTGCGTATCGAGGGTTGCGCACTATTTCCACCCCCTCTCACAGTTTCTCCACAATAAAAAACTTCTGGGAAATATCAAATCCCCACGTCAGGATCGAGAGGAAGAATTGAAATAAACATGAGGGGAAAATATGATTAAAAATTTTAATAAAAATCGCTTGAATTTTGTGAAAAGCCCCAGGAGACGGTGCAATCATGAAAGTGAGGATGAAAAATTATGAGGAAAAGTGAAAAAGACTATCCTAACCCTCTTGGGTTGAAATTTCGTGAATTATCTGTGGAGGGAGGGATGGGGCTATTGACCCGTTAGTTTGGGCGGGGGTGAGGGGTTTGTGATTGTGAGGATGTGGGAGACACGTGTCGACGAATTTTTGCATTTTTTTAAAATATCCGGACATGGATGGAGAGACCAGAAAACGACTCTATCATTTTCTCTAAATTTATAAATAAAATAATAATTTAATTACAATCATTACCCTGAACCCAAATAAAATCGAAGAAAATGCCAAACCCCAGAATTGTTTAAATAATAAAAAATCCACAGTTCAAATTTGTCCACAAAATTCTGAACTCCGACCAGATGTTCGGAAATTCCTGTGGGGTAAACAGTTCAAACGGAAATATTCACCAGTGCAATTTTTCCTAGACAGAATTTTTAATATTTTCTTGTATTTTTTATTTGTTTATCCCCAGGTGTTGACAAAAAGTCGCAAAAACGGGCTTTTTAACGTCAACGGCGATGTCTTCGAGCAAGGGTCAGGCTTGCCCCTCGGGTGGTCCTGTCGTGCGCTGTGGACATCTCCGTAAATCAGGGTCATTGATATCAGGCCTCAAGCCACTGAAGAAGAAGTACTTTGTACTTCACGGTGACATACCGGGACATCCAGCATGCCTCGAGTACTACGACAACAAGAAAAAATTTGACAACAGACAGCCACCGAAGAGGAGTATAGCAATGAGAAGCTGTTACAATATAAATCGAAGAAGTGATACAAGACACAAGCACGTCATTGCCCTCTACACGAAGGACGACTGTTTCTCATTGATACTGGACAATGATAAGGAGCTTGAGGACTGGCTGACGGCGATGCTCCTGCTTTGTGGTGATGTGCCCGATGGAGAGCAACCAAAACCAACTTTTGGTCAGTAGTCCCACCTTTTTTATATTTTAATTTTATTTTGAGGCGCCTTTTAACGAGATATTCAATGATTTACATCTTGCAGAGCACGTGTGGCAGGTGACACTTCAAAAAAAGGGCCTAGGCGAGAGGAAAAATCTGTATGGGCCCTACAGACTCTGCCTCACTGATAAGACACTCAGCCTCATCAAGGTTGGGGCAGACGACAGCACCGACTGCTTGGAATTTCCTGTGAGTGAATTATTATCTTTTTTTTAATCCACATGAAAACTGGAATCGACAGGAGATTTGATACAATTAAAAATAGCATCAAGCTCCATGAGATTCTTCTCTAAAAAAATATTCTTTTAGATTTAATATGTAGATTTAACATTTAGGGGGGATTTTTAAATTTTTTCCAATTGAATGAGTGTGAGGTACGAAATGATAAATTAATTTCAGTTGACAACAATCAGAAGATGTGGATGCATGGACAGAATTTTCTACATGGAGGTTGGAAGATCAGCTGTGACTGGCGAGGGTGATTACTGGATGAAAGCAGAGGACAACAATATTGCTCACAACATGCATGCAGCTATCATGAATGCAATGAGTGGATCTGGTAATAAAGAGAAGGACGAGGTCCTTCCACAGACTAGAAAGAGAAGTTCGTCGGCTAATGAGGCGAGCAAACCCATTGCCTTCATTCGGAGAAGACCAACTGGTAGTAAACCCCTTGGATTCTCACCTCTGGGTAAGTCATTTAATTTTAAATCCAAAAAACTTACACCCATTAAATTTTATTCTTTATTTTTTCTTCATTTTACGTATATCCAGATTATTCATCAACAAAGGACACTCAAATAATATTATATTTATTTATATTATGCTGAATTATTATTTTATGAAACAGTCAATTAGTCCACACATTCTTGTTATTCATCCCCAAACGGTTGTGGCTCACAAGCGGAACGTATGACTCACTCATGGACAATTTCATAACGCAATTACTGCCGTGTTTTGATGGAATCGAATTTTTCAAAACAAGTTATTGAGGTACACTGATTGCAGCTAGATAAAACATTCGTCATACGGTATTTAAAAAAAAAACACAGAGAATGAAATGATTTTACCTTTTCCTAAATTGAACGAGTGATTTCATGGATAGATGGCAATTTCCGATGTAAACAAAACAATTGAAGCAATTAGCTCGATTAGTTAGCTGAGAAATAAGAAAATTGGCACTTAATGGAGAAAAACATGTCAAAGTGAGAACAATATATTAAGAAAAATCGGTAATTACTTCGACTTTTAATTGAGATTCGGTTGAATTGCTCAGAGCCACAATCAAAATTATATAAACACGCAATAATTCCGAAGAATAAACCAACGAGTCAGGAGTGGATGAGGCTTATTAATGAATTTTTCCTCTCGTATGTATATAAAATGATTATTATAAAACAGAGTATGGGTTTGTACGTGGGAATTTACAGAGGAACAAAGTACCACCGAGGATCAGAGTGGAACAGCATCTGCCCCTTCACAGAGTTGTAGTCAATCACAGAGTACCTCTGGCAATACACTTACGGGTCTGTTCATTGTCAAATTAAGAAAGAAAACAATTAAAATGTATTTAAATGTTTGTCGATCTGGGACAGACGCGATAGCCGATGAATGGTTGCTTTCTTTCCTCAATCTCGCATTCAAAATTTCGAATAAAAATCCCATGAGAGATAATCAACTCAATAATTATAAACCAATAATTGTCTCCCCTGCATTAAACTCAATATCGATTTTATTCTTATTTAATATTGTTTTAATAATTGCCTCGACGTCGGGATAAATGAAGATTAATTGCAATTAATCTATGAAAATTAATTTTCACTTTTCGTTTGTTTGTTGTAATAATAACAATTGTTGTATAGATATCCTATAAATATAAAAAACAATGGAAACATTAATTGCAAATTTTATTTCACAGGTAAATTTCGGTCAAATAAGGATTTTTTTTTACGTTAATAGAAATGCACCTGTGATATATAATTGATAATAATTATTTCCATTACGTTCCATTTAGTTAGAGATACATTAATTATCGATAATGAATAAATGAATCCTGACGAGGCGATTATGAAAATAGAATTATCTCTTGCACATTTGATGGGATTTTTAATTGATCCGTTGATTTATGTTAAATGGGATGTATTTTCGCTCCTCGGACGCTTTTGCAAATGACTTTATCATTTTATTTCATGGAGCATGGGTATCACAGGTATCGACAAGAGTATTACACTATTGCCCTCCCCCCTCAGGAAGTAAATCATTCTAACAGTCCAGCTGTGAATAATCCAAGCAGCCAAGTGAATAAATATTTTTTCCCCACCAGAGCTGATGGGAATATTTCAAAGTGTGAATGTCACCCGCTTTAATTTAATTCTCACCAAAAAAATAAAAATAATTTTAACCAAAAGGAGTTGCACGATAAAAAAAAATGGCAAATACAGAAAGGGGGAGCAATAATGAATGAAGGAAAGAGGATAAATTGTTGGGATGAAAGAAAATGGGTTTGCAGTTGTTGCGGGGACTAGGAGCCTTGGGACTTACGCCATCAGCAGCTCAATTGCAAATAGACGCCGGCACTCAGTTGCCAGTCAGCCAATATCCACAATAAATTCCCAATCGGTTAATGTAACAACAACTACCCCAACGTTATCATCAACAATCAGCGTTATAACAACAAGCAACAACAACAACACGATAACAACAACAACAACAAGTACAACAATGATAACCACGACAAAATTCCATCAGAGAACCCTGTCGCTGCCCCTTGCCGCTATTGTTATCAATCAAACGCAATCATCCAAAAGATCACTTTTACGCTGTATGTATTTTTCGTTTCAATGCAACAAAAGAAGATGAACACTTATTATTTATTCAATAAATTACAAGGTTCTTTCGGATTAAATTGTTATAATCCACGAGCTAATTGTGCTCAAGGATTTTGAGACGTTTGAGGAAAAAAACATACTTGGATTTTTTCATATTAAAATCATTCAATTAAAATCATTCAATAAATATAGATATATGATTTTTTAAATAATTATTATTATCATCTCTACGTAAATATTTTCTAAAATTCATTGAAAATTTATGAGATATCCGTCTTTTTGTCAATTCTATAGACATATATAGCTTTTTTGGTAATTAAACAAATTTCAATTGACTATTTTTCTTTTGTTTATGTACATATTGTAATTGTTTAAAAAATCATTTTTATGCGCTAATTTGTGGAGCGAAGACCGGTAACACTTGTCGTTTGATTTTGATTTTTTTGAAGAAGAAAAATTCACACTAATGGCAATTTATCACAAATAATGCCACTTACCGCAGTAATTTACAAGTTAATAAATAATTGCAATGGATGAAGTGGCCCGAGCTTAATTAATACAAGGGCCTCAATGACTTGCAGTCTCGCTGGTTGATTGGTGATTTTGATTTATGTTCTTGTTGTCTGTAATTGAAGAAATTCAATGACCTCTCCCGTGCTCTCAATATTTAATTGTCAATGGATTTAATCTGCTAATTACTTCGGATATTTGAATTTCTTCAAACAAACGGGAACCCAAGATGCATTGTCAAGCTGTGTTGGGCCTGCGTCGCATGGATAAAGGGATTAATAATGAATTTTATTTTATTTCGATTTTTGCTGCATCTGCATTGCCACTGCTGCTCCGACTGCTGCGTTCCAGCATTCTTTGATTAATGAGAGATTTGATAATTCGTACATCTGAGAATTTTATGCTTCACCTGTTTCTTTTTATGATTGTCAATTTGCCTATGTAATCAGGTGGTGAAACGTGACGATCAAAATCGACAGAGTTCGCTCACATTTTTCCACCCCCACTGCTCATTTTTTTACATATTTAATTGATTTTTTACAATATTTGCAGCACGATTGTTTGATTTTTACTGCTCTTGGCTCCTTTTCCCTTGGCTTCACCTCAATCTCATCCCCTCGATTAAATATCGCCTAGAAATTTCATTATTATTCAGAAACACTTTTCACAGAAAGGGATGAAACCCAGGGAAAACTGATTAATTGTTTGGAAATTGAAATTTTTCTGTCAATCGAATAAACAAATGATAATTAACACGCTATGCTGGGACAATGGGATTGGCTTTTCAATAATTTTCCGTTCTTTCTCTGCATTCAGAAAGAATCAGTCGTAAGATGAAGCTGATTAATTTTTAAAATGTCTGTGGTACCAGTAAATCAAATCGATAAAAATAATCCGCTTCATTTTACAGAGAAGAAATAATTTTAAAAACAAAGTACAAATTCTTCTTAGATAATGATTCCATCATTTGAATAATTAATTTTGGATTTTCAGGTGCAACAGGTCGTGACAGGTGTGACAGTCTGCCATCCCGTGCGAGGACATCGTCGGAGGGTCAGCCAGCTCCACTGGTGCTTGGTCATCCTCGAAATGCCCACCTGGTGCTCCACTCAACGAGGCCCCACTCGATGTACGGCAGAGGCCTGTCGTACTCACCCCCAGTCTCATCGATGCCAATAAGTCCAGCCTCTGGTGCTTGCTCAACAGACTCAGCAGGTTCATCCCTGTCCATGGACGACGGTGGTGACAACATGATCGAGGAGAGCAGCACAAGGTATGGCCACTCACTGACACCAGACGAGCCAGTAATTCTCGAGGAGAACATGGATGATTATGTGCCCTGGTCTAACAGTGGACAGGCAAACAAATACTCACCGTCACAGCAGAGCTCCTATGTGGAGATGTACAGCCCCTGTGGCTCGAGTCCAGGTCGTGGTGGTAGTTTAGGTGGTACAGTTGTTGGTGTTGGTGGTTATATGCCAATGAGTCCAGCAACTGGTTTAACCCACTCAAGAGCTTCATCACTCGTCGAGGAGTCAACCCTACCAGACGGTTACGTACCAATGGCACCAGTCGGTGATGACGGTTACGTAGCGATGGAGCCCTCAAATGGCCACAACGGCCACTTCCCCGACGACGTGTCCCAGCATGGCTCCAGCTGTTCAGTAACCAGTGGTACACCATCCACTGATCTCAGATTATCGGATTATCCACTTGACAAAGTATCGAGCTTCCTGACACCATCAGACGATCTTCCTTTGCGTCCCACTCGTGCCTATTCAGTGGGCTCACGTCCTGAGCCCTCAAACAGACATCGAAAAAATCGCCTGGACATTGCCCTGCAGGAGTCATCACGTGTCAGGGCATTCTCCGTTGGCAGCAGATCCAAGAGACCCGAATTGGCTCGATTATCCAATGTCATAACTTCCAGATTACCAACAAGTGTTGAAAATGTCAATCCCAATAAATCCAATTCAGCCCCAATGCTGTCCAGCTCCTGGGGTCACAATTCCGTGGCCAATGAACGAATGGAGGACCTTATGGAGATGGATTTCTCGAGGAGCAATATACCAACGACGATATCATCGTCACCATCGAGTTATTCACAGTCACATTCACAGTCTTATTCCACTGCCACTGACACTAGCTCTTACGTGGACATGTCCCTTGGACAGGCACACACGAGTAATACTGCCCCTTATGTAGATATGAGTGGTGTTAATAAGGTTAATAGAAATAACAACAACATTACCACGACAAATCACAATCACAATCAGAATCATGTGACAACACCACCACCAGCTGGATCAAGTGTCATTCACAAGCCATCGTTGAAGACGTTGAAGCCGGTCGTTGAGGCTGAGCCCTACATGAAGATGAACAGCTCGTTGGATGACTGGAGAACTGATATAAGTCCCAAACAGCCACCATCACCAATGCAGGATGATTACATGCAGATGAATGGTCCACCAGGTGCGTGCAGTATTCAAATACAATATTTAAACAAAATTAACAGACTAACACTGGATAGTCAATATTTTATAAACGAATTCATGAATGGATTTCAGGTGTGACCAGAACAGCTCCAGTGGACTTACCTCAACCCCGTAAACCGCCGGAAGGTTACGTTGAGATGGGCCCATTCAAGGCCCGACCAAGTCTTGAGCAAGACTACATAAACATGACGACTGGTGCAAATCGTCCACGACGACGCCATCGTCCAGGTAATCGCAAAGACAAAAATCGCTCTCAGCCCATCGCTATTCAGGCATCGCAGCAGTCAAAAACCCCGAGCTTTCTGCCCCTGAATCAATCACCACCCTCGGAGAGTCTCGTAACACCAACTAGTTCGACAACAATATTTCCCTTCTCCTTGAACAGCCCACAATCACCAATCAAGCCCTTCGACAATCCCAAGCAGATATCAGAGACGAGCTCATCAGACTGCTCCCCAGATCTCTCAAATTATCCCGTCATCACTCCTCTAACAGCCACGTCAGCTCCAATAACGATTCAGAAGGATCTCTCCAAGTTGGAGAGAACTGAGAGGCCTGAGAGGCCTGAGAGGCCTGAGAGGCCTGAAAGGTCTGAGAGGCCTGAAAGGTCTGAGAGGCCTCAGAGTCCCACTAAACCACCCATCACAACCCTCGCCAACATTCTAACTCAAAACTCCACCCCGATATCAGAAAATCCCACCGAAATAGCAACAATTACCTCCACAGCTCCCAGTCCTCCACCTGTATCCTCATCACTTCCTGATCCCCCTGACACACCCCTGAGTCCAATAACCAAGAGATTAACGGACAATCTGACGAAGAAGAAGCAATCGAGGAACAGCACTACCTCACCAATAACAATATCACTCTCAAATTCATCGAAAGACGAGCCTAGTCCCACATCCAAACACAAGTCCGATGCTCCTGACAATTCTCAGATGCCCCAGAGTCCTATTACTAAAAAATTATCAGAGCTCTCGGTATCGAAATCAAAATTAGTCGGTCCATCACCCAATACCAGTCCCACACCCGGTGGTACTTTGAAAGGTGTTAAAGCGAATTCACCAAAAATTCCTGATGATGTCCCAACGACAACTTCTACCCTCATTCCTAGTCCCCTGGACTCGGAGGGCTACGAAAAATTACAGCCTGGAGTCGGTCTCCTGCATTATGCAAGTCTCGATCTTCCTGAGTCATCGTCTGTACCTCCTGTATCACCGATACCAGTTCAGGATGGATTTCGATATGCGGAAATAGATTTTGCTAAGCTCAAGCAGAATTAATGCCGACCTTGGGAGAATTTTGGGATTTTGTTCATTGGAATGAGCGGATTATTTTCATCGGGGCTGGGATTTCTCAGGGGACAGCTCATTCTCGGGATTGTCACTCCTTTTTTTCACTTTCTCCGTATCAATTGTCATTTCACTGTTTATTTATTTAACTGATCGATACCTTTTTTAATATTATTATCAGATCCATTGATTACGTCCAAAGATGTAGATCGAAATTTCTTATTACCAAAAAAACATCATTAGCATTTTTCTTGTAGAAATTTCCAAAGCCCAGGAGTCAATAAACCCAATAAAGTTTCACCAGTAGATTTATTACCTGCGAATTATAACGTCAAATTTATTATTTCGCTGGAAATGAGAGAGTTTCATCGGCTCTAGTCTCGAACTTCCGGATAAACTAGCCTAGGTCAATTGCAAATGTAAATGTTAATCACTGTAAATAGAGGAATAATTGGATAATTGTTTTAGAGAATGGGAAAAAAAATCGCAAGGCGATTTTACCATGGATTTTTCTTCATCCGTTTCTAAAATCTTCTTAGAAATCGGATAGGGTATACGTTGTTATTTCCTGTCTTTTTTTGGTTTTTTTTTAAGGGATAAATATGAAAACCTACATGTATAGAATGGATAGATAAATTGTTAATACTTGTTTCTAATTCAATGTTTTTCTTCTTTAATAATTTTGTGATGAGAGAGGAAATAACGGAATGACTGGATATTACGACTCCCAATTGTCTCCCCGAATCCCGTGAATTTTGATTCCCAGTTGAAAATTATAAATAATATAAATAATGATTTTTCGAGGAATGAGTAAAGAAACCCCTTCTAGAGATTAAGTAATCGTATAAATATATAAATAAAATTATATATGAAAATATGAATATATACATAATATACATAATTATATAATATTAACAATAAATCATTACAAATTATCTATATAACGTCTACAACTTCTTGAAGAACTTTATTCCCTGCGGATATTAATTTTATCGTAACCCTCAATTAAATATTAATAAGAATGGAATTTATTAAAAAATTAATTATGTACACGTCAAGATATTTTACTATTTTCAATGCAAAAAAGAAAAAAACGAGAGAAGATATTTTAATTTTTAGTGCTATTCGTAGAAATCTATAAAAAAATCTGTCAAATTGTGACAGTTCAACAATAAAATGACACTTTTGGGAATTTTTTGGGAGCTCTTTCGAGACTCAGACTTTAGTAGTAGTCAACAGTTGTATGTAATGCGCTTTGTGTGTGATTTCAAATTCCTGGGCAGGCCTGAAGCACTGGGTCTGTACCCTGGGTGTCCTGAATCTTCTCAGTAAGCTCCTGCCGATCAGCAAAACCGTGACGAAAACACCGCAGGAGATGGCTATTATCGTGAGGATGATGATATCACTGTTCTCTCGAAATGCCTGGACCTCGACGCACCTGGTGCCACCCTCCCTGGCGACACTTCCATTGTCCTTTAGGTGCTGAAGACTAGCGCAGACTTTGTACCTTCCCGGGACGAGTCCTGGGACTGTAACAACCGGTCGACTGCAGTTGAGGGTTTTGCGGTGAAGAAACAAGTCCTCAGCGAATACAATCACTGAGACCTTGCAGAGATCGTCGTCTAGGTGGTTTTCCAGCAGGGACAGGCTGACGTCGACGTTGAGGAATCCCTCGTCGGAGATGTTGACGTGGACTCCGTTAATCCTCTCGAGGGGAGCTGCTGTCGTTGGCTCTGGGTGATTCTCGATTTTTTCCCCGGTTTCCTCCAGGAACAAGAGGTCACTGCAGCCCAGACCTAGAGTGAAATCGTCCGTTGATGTTGATACGAAGAGAACGATGCAGTATCGGTACTTGTGACCGATTTGAAGATTCAGAGATGGTGGGAGGGTGATGGGAAGACTGCAGGGATCTCTCATGAGATTGGACTGACAGTGGATTGGACTCGAGTCGATCTCGATCTCTGAGTCATTGTGTTCCTCGTAGATTATGAGATTGTCGCATGTATATCTCTGATTACACGGCTCAACGCTCCACAGGAAATTGATGCCCTGGTGAATTCCGGTTCTCTCGTAGTGGAACTCCTTGAGGCTGAGGCGTACCTGGGGCTCGGGGAGTTTCGTCATCATCGGTGGTGTTGGATCACCGCACAAAAGACTGCCTGGTGATACCTCAGTGAGAATTCCATTCTCCAGAGCTGGAGGTGTTGCACACACCGCTGATGACCTATCCTCCTCCTCCAGAGTGGAATTGCTCAGCCAATTGGCGAATTCCAGGATATTGCAGTCGCAGTTGAGGGGATTGTCGGATAAAGTAAAACGTTTGAGTTTCAGTTTTGAGGTGGATATTTCGGGATCGATCATGGTGATGTCGTTGTCGTCCAGGCGAAGATCTTCAAGATTTTTGAAGGGGACTATCAGGTCGCTCGTCAGCGAGGGGAGGAAGTTGTGGGTCAGATCTAGTGTAACTAGGTTGTCAAGGTGTGCCAGGGAGGCACTTGACACAGCAACTATTTGGTTGCTTGCCAAATCCAATCGGGTCAGGGCTGACAGGTGTCTGAATGCGTGATCCTCCAGGACATCGATCTAAATTCATTTCATGATAATAATAATAATAACAATAATAACATTTTTCATTATTTGAATATCAATTTTCGAGTCTTCAGGGAAATTGCAACACGCTGAAGATAATTGTTGAACAAAAATTGAAAATCCAAAGGAAACACTTAAACAATCTAATAATAATAATAATAATTTCAATTTTTTCTGAATTATCGGAATATTAATTTAGAAATTTTCAATGCAATTACAATATACTAAAGATTTTTGTTAATAAAAAATGGAAATATATAAATATATTATATAAATATTTAAAAATCAGGGTTTAACAATAAATTTACCTGATTATGACTTAAACTGAGATATGTCAAATTAGGTAGTCCCCCAAGTGCTCCCTGCTTGACAATTGCCAACTGATTCTCGGAAAGGGTGAGTACCCGCAGTCGTGGCATGGTGGGTAGTAAATTGGTCCCAAGGGGACCAATCAGAAGATTCCTGGACAGATCAAGATCCTCCAGATGCTTGAGACCACGTAGAGCAGAGAGTGCCGATACACTCAATCGATTTCCTCTCATCTTCAACGATCGCAAGAACTTGAGTGGCACAAATGCCTGGGGAGACAATTGGGACAGTAAATTGTCACAGAGATCGAGGTGCGTGAGACTCTGCTGGCCCTGCCAAGTAGAATTATCAATTTACCAGTAAAAAGTTGAATGTCTTTTAAATCAGATGAATTAATCGTGGGAAGAGAATCCCCAATGAATTCAACCGATTCCAGCGATCGGTGCTGAATTATTTATCGTCGAGGCGATTTAAGAAAAAAACAAAAAACAACAATTCATAACGAGTTTTAATGAATGCGGTAGGAGTGAGGGAAAAATTGTCGTCTTACTTTGAATGCCAGTGCCTCGAGGGTCTTCAATTTATTTCTCGAGAGGTCCAGTCTCTCCAGTCCCTGGAGATGCTGGAGGGCACCTGTTGGCACTGACTCCAGGAGATTATTCGGCAGACCTAGGGCTTGTAGGGGTCCAACCAGTGATGTCAATGCGTTATCATTTACTCGTCTGAGTTCACCGGTTGATATCACCAGTCCATGGAGTGCAACGCCCTGTAAAAAACGCGATGGCAATGTTGATATTCCCGTTACTGTCACATCCAGCAGCGAAATTATTCCCTCGCGACTGCTTCTCAAATGGTCACCTATCACCTAAAAACAAACATCAACAATTTATTCCATTCCACTCCATCCCATCCGCATTAAACACGCCATTAAAAATTATTAACAATCACAAATATACCCAAACGATTTATTTACTAACAAATCAGATTTCCCTTATCTGAAAAAAAAATTGAATCCATCACTCCATAATTATTATTTAAAGATAAATTAATTGTGTATTTATTATTTATTGAAATATTTGATGGTTTTTAATTGATAGTCAAATGAGTGGATAAACAATTCAATAAATTTGGTATTAAAGGAATGAGTTTCGGATTTTTGTTGCGAATACAGTGAATTTCTTTGAAAATTAATGAATAATTAATTGCATTTAGGGCTCTCACTTCTAATGAATTTCTGTCTCCATTGCATCTCAGAGTGTGAGGAAAATCGCAGGAGCACTCGACTCCAATTTTCGTGATGTTTGGACACTCCCAGACGATTTCTGATTGTCCATCCTGATGATTTTGGAGTTTCTCAGGCAGAATGGAGCGTTGACCTCCAACCGCCAAAGGAATCACCGAAGACAGAATTAAAATCACCAGACATTGCCACGGCATCCTGGAAGCAATAAATAAAATAGACCAATAATTTGAATGAGGAATTCTTTTACAAGTTGTAATAAACAATCCCTCCAATTTTCTACTGCAATTTTTTTGTTTAATGAATGTTGAAAGTTTGTTAGGTTGAAAAAAGGGTTAGGGGGGTAATCAAAATTTCGAGTTGTTTTTTTAATAGAAAAAATGGGATCATTGTACGATGATTTGTGGCATTCAGCTCAGGAAAGGACTGATTATTTATTGGGACTTGATGGAGACATTCAGGCGGATCAGACTCCAAGGTCCAGAAATGATGCGGTGAAGATGATTCTCCCGATCTACATAAAGTATTCAGTTAAATCCATTAAATTTATTATTAATTAATTAATAAAAAAATTAGATTAATTAATTAATAATAAATTAGATTAATTCCATTAAATAAATATTAACTAATACTAATCATTACAAAATTAATTGATATTAATATCAACATATCATTATGTTATTAGATTTATTTATTACTTATTATATTTATCGATTTATTCGTTAATTATTCGACAATTATTCATTATTTAAATCCGCAGGTATAAGAATTTAATAAAAAAACTAGCGCAACTGTACGATCGGATGATTCATTCCCAGAAACGGCAGCTCATAAAACGTTTATTTAATTGCTCTGTTGGTCGAATGCTGGAATACAGGAGAGAACTCGTTAAATTAACTTGTTCGGACTACCAGTGAGTAATTAAATATCCATTAATTATCGTAATAATAAAGAATAGAGAATAATTGCAGTTGGCCTGACGATCTTCTGATAGAGCTGAAGTGGACCCCAGATGATGTCCAGATTCCCTCGATCGCCAGTTA